AACAAACCGTACAGTTCAGTAATCAATGTCATCAGATTCAAATTATCATTTTCAATTTTAAGATCAACAATTCGGTGTGTAAGGGGTACAAGGAGATCAATATATAGGCCCAGTGACTGTGACATTGATGTAGCAATCTCTGATGCTCGACTTCAATGTCACTAACATATTAATAAAGATTATTATTATTTTTTTTATTACTAATTTCACTTATAAACTCATTACTACTGATTTCTGATCCTATTTCAAATTCATTTTATTATTATTATTAAAAAAAAAATGTAGTCTATTGTAGTGCTTATCAGCTTATGAAGCATGCTCACGTAGCATGCTTAGTGGTAAAAACTGTGATAGAACAAGTTATTGTGTTAAACTGCTTTCACTAAATTTATTAAAATAATGATGTTGTTCACACAAAATGGCAGAACAACACAAAATTTGGTCAATCAAGCAAATTGGTTGGAAAATATCTGATGTCTGACTGTTATTTCAGATTCTGTGCTAATCAAACATATATCTTATTAGTAATAAGATATAATCATACACTGTACATGTAGGGTCCTGCATTTCAGTCATTATAAGTGACCTTAAGAACAAAGTAATAATTGATTTGTAATGATCTAATGCCATGGTGTAAGCATTCAAAAATTTCGTTCGTTTTAGTTAATGGCATTCTAAAATTTTACATTCATCCCACCTCTACTCTATAAAAGAGGTTTGGAGTTAAAATTTTAATCAGTGCATGCTGCTACAAAGCTGTATCAAAAATTTTGGCAAACATACCTCAATTCACCAAATTTGCTTAAATTTACTCCACCAGATTCTCTAGCTATTATGGTACATGTACCATGTATGCACAATCATTGCTTGCTTAATTCAGTTACTTGTTAACATGTACATGTACCTCTACATCAGAATTGTACCGACACATGTATTTGAACCACTTGGGCTTTGTCATTAGGTTCCAATTAATAGTTGTAGCTCTTACAAATTAGTGTGTAACATCTTCATGTATTTTTACTATTATTTTATTACAGTGTACATTATTGAATAGCATTTACTACAATGTTGAGAGAACACTAGGTCACTGATGGTGTCAAGCAACTGAAAAAAGTAATAATTAAAGATAAATATACCTAAAAGCTCAAGACTTTTGATGTAGATTTGAATATAGTGAGCAAAACTTTTGTGTTGGAATACAATCATTAAATCTATGGCAAAATACTTGTTTGCCATTAAGGGTTAAAAATCCATGAAAGTTGTCTTGAAAAATTAACTTTATTGATCTGGAAAAGTTTTGCCTCTCAAAATAAAACAAGGATTTTCTTTAATATGTCACTTTTCCCCCACTCTCTTTTGCTCCTCTCTCTCCTCCTTTTCTTCTCTTTTAGGCTGAGAAGCATCAGAAGAAATTAATTAAGTTAATCATGCTTCCGATAGTTATAATAGTTGTGGCTGTTGAGGAAATGAAAAGGAATGATTAATTTAATTCACACTTTTATTATTGTGCTTAACTATTACTTATTGTGTTTGAATTAATGAATTGTATCTCAAAACAGTTTCTAAAAATTAATATTTTAAACCAGTTTAGTATTTATATTTTATATTACACCTTTTTATTAGGTTATTTTGTATTAGATGTAGATTTAGCAATTCCAAGATTTGTGTATGTTGATGTAACAGATCTAGACTAGTCTCACACAACAAATCTCTTTCAAAAGATTACACACTTTAGACTACTACTAAAAAATCATGGCTTAATAAAAACAATATAAATCTATATATAAAGGTCAACTAAATAAAGTGAGGCTAGCCTTCAATAATTGCAAGGCCCCTCGTAGGACTATGATAATAATAACGCATTACAATTAAGAAAAGTAAGGCCTATAGGAGTTACACAAATTATGTAAGTTCATGTCACACTACAACCGTCAAAAAATTACTAGCTAAGTTCATTAAAGAATTATTTTTGTTGATTGTTCCTCACAAAAGTTTATAATTGTAGACTGAGATACTGAGATATTGAGCCAGTGGATCAATGAGTGCATTAATTCATGTATTCAATTCACTGAACAATGGTCTATCATTAGGACACTCGAGCCAACATGACAGCATCAGTTCATAACTACATCAGCAATTAAAAGGGTAGCTATTAAATGTAAAATTTTCTACTTACATTTTATCTGAGCAAGCATCATTATGAGGACAGTTCAATCGTCCTCCAGTATCCAGTAACTCAATCACTCCTGCTGGATCCAATCCTGGAAATGGTGTCTTGCCTCCATTAAAAACTTCCCAACAGAGTACACCATATGACCACTGCAAAAATGTGAAACATTTTTTGAAAAATTCTATATAACTCACAATATCTGATTTCTCTGAAAAAATCCCATCATGAATACTCTCAA